AAAATCGGGGTAAAATGAGTTAATATTTTGGCATTAAATATGCAATAGCAAACTTGCCCCAAACCAAATTATAAGCAAAATTTATATTACCTATTCATTGTAATCGAAGAATCATCGTTATAAGTACGAGTAATATCTTTGTATATTTTTTTATTTGAAGCATTTTTCTCCTGCTCCATTACGTTAAAATGTAAATTAATTTTAGATAATTGAGCATTTTTAACAAAAATATTTATATTTGCCCTTTTGCTGATAATTATGTATATAAGAAGTAAAATAATAATAATCGAATATTTAAAATATATTTTTCTTATTTTAAAAGCCATTATCCATATAAAAATCACAGTTCGTAATATCAACGTCTGCAAAAAGAACACAGACGACAATAAGGTTTCAATTTATGTTTACAAACAAACCATGGTCATTTAAATATTTATTCTATGATAATTTTTAAAATATATAAATATTATAGTTGTGTATGAAAGCTCAATTAACTTCTTAAAAACCTGAATAAAATACGTATATTTATTTTTGAAATAATCTATTATAAATTTAAAAAGTGTAACAATCAGAAAACTTTGCATTTCGCGCTCGCGCGTGTTTGTGTGTAAAAGAAAGTAAGAAAAAAAGAAAAAAAAAAAAAAGGACCCTTTAAATATAGTTGTATAAAAGTGAGCGTACCTGGGTCTGTTAAAAATTGTTTTAAAAATTTTCTTTACACCTCTTTTTATATAAACCTATTCAATAGATCGCCTTTTGACTCAAACTTTGAATATAGGTTTTGGAATTAAAATAATAATAATAATAATAATTAAAAAATATATATATTTAAATATATATATAGACAGCACTTTATACTTTAACATCATTAATTTTCATTTTGATAACAACATTCTAAACTATTAGAGTGTTTATATTTTAAAGTGATATATTCGATTTTATTTGAAACTTTGACAGTAATATATGTTTTATTTTTCAAAATTTTAATTGAATATATTTATTTTGAATGAATTTAGTTTGCTTTAGTACTGATGGTTTTGTTAGGTTTTTAAAAATTCTAATTTATAAATAATAAAAATACTTTTAAAATTTTTTATTTAAATGCACTATAAAGGAAAAAATTAAATATTTTTATCTTCTGCCATTTGGGAATTAGATTTATATGAGTGAAAATAAAAGCGGTGGGGGACGATCATCATGAATATCGAACTTTATATTGTAATATTGTAATGTATAAAATTAGGAAAGACAAACCTCAGAATAACACAGCAATTTTAAAATATAAAATCAAATTAAAACTGATAAAATAGCAGAAAGGCAATGAGAAAATTTTGCAGGGTATATAAATACAAATTTTGAAATTAAAAATCTCATATAATAATAAATAATCTGCTACATAGCTCTTTCCCTATGGAAGCTGTGACCCACAGCTTGAAAATCTTGTTGCTACCGGCATGGATCTGAAGTGTTTCTGTCAAATATTCCCTGGAGTCTTGGACATCTGTCCCTAGTAGCTTTGCGTCCTTTTTATTGCGGCGTGAAGAGCGGCTTTGTCATCGTGGAGGGAATTCTTGGATTTGACACTGCGGTGGAATCCTGGCGCCAGTTTCTGAAAATTTATATCATGGCAGCCATGGCCTCATGGTCTTCTCGGCGATCTTCAATTTGTCTTTCCTAATCTACCCAGCATCTCCATCAAAATGTAATTAGAAAATTAGGAAAGACAAACCTCAGAATGACAGGGCAATTTATTTAATCTAAAACCAAATTAAAACTACTAAAATAGCAGAGAGGCAACGAAAAAAATTTACAGTGCATAAAAATACAAATATCGAAATTTTTTTTTCATAAAATAATAATAATCTGCTACAATATGAAATACTGATTAGCGATCTTTATTATTACAACTCTGCCTTTGCCGTCCCAAGCCTGGATGAAAAAGGAGGAGGGGAAGCAGTAATAAGCTCACTAAAAAACCTAAGCTAAGCTGGCCAGGCTGATAGTACCCTGTAAGGGCATCTAATCCAGGGGGACAGGATGAGCAGCGTTTGTACTCATGTTAGGAGCGGCTGCACATGGCGTCTATTCCTCATATCAGAGGCGGCCATTTCTTTTGGAGCTAAGTCGGCTTGCCACTGAGTAGTGCTCCCAGTCTTAATGACAAAGGCAGACGCCTTCTACTTCACAAAATGGTTATCAACTGTATTAAATCATCCATTGATGAGCTTTGCTCACCCCCAGAAGACACCATCGACAGTGTCTTTACAAATTTGACACCCTAATATGATTGAGTGGAGATAAGAAAGAAGAAGATATGTGTTTCCTCAATTTTTACCTTTTCTCTCAATATGATCGTCCTCCGCAGGTTTTATTTTCACTCATATAAATCTAATTGCTCAATGGCAGAAGATATAAAATATTTAATTTTTCCATTTTAGTGTGTTTAAATAAAACTTTTTCAAAATGTATTTTTGTTTAATAATTATTCATTCAATTTTTAGTTATGAGAATTTACAAAGCTTAGAATAAAAAGTTGAAATATATTTGAGATCTCGCCAAATTTTTTAAATATGCACATTAATATTCAATATATTTGTTCTAAAAATCGAGATTGAGGATTTTCAGGTTTACCAATCACTTGCTAGAAAAACCTTGGGTCAGGGAAGAAGCTCTGAAGGCATCATTGTAGGAATTTATAACAAAAATAACCAAATTTAGATTCATTGCTGACTTGCTAACGAACTCCAACTATATATACTACGATCAAGATACACAATGGACTGGAGATAATTTTATATGGTGAACTAAACATTCGCACCAACCACCTTGGAGACTTTCATAACCTGCTGGATATCCCAACTTTATTGTCGCGTAATCTTTCCTCAAGAGATATAATAACATCTACCCATGTTAATACTCTAGTTCCCCAGCGGCCCCTTTCCTGCTACTATCCCCCTTGACACATTGTAAATAGCATTGCTAATTATTGTAACTATTGCTGTTATTCCTTTATATACCTTCTTCTACGTGAAGAAGTTGTATAAGACCAAAAGGTCATAACAGGGACTTTTGTTGTTGTTACTACTGTTATTCTTGTATGTACCCTACATTTCTGTGCTTGGAGAATCCGTATAAGACTAAATTGTCTTAATAAAGCTTTTTGTTGTTGTTGTATTCAATATCCATTATTATTATTTATATATAAACCATTCACACATTATAATATTAGAATACTATCAGAGTGACCTTGTAACGCCTCTAGAATACTGTAGGGTCTGTGAAGACACATTAAGTGTATTGATGGTGGCTTGAAATTGCAATGGGTATATTCTGATTTCTTAGAAGAAGCATTTCAAGTAAGGTAAAATGAAAATAATTTCTAAGCAAAGTATATACTTTCAGTAGCAGATATGGGACATGGATAAATCCTGGGCATCCAGGCTAGTTCTCTAAGGAAAGTTTACACAGAGAAGAAATTCAGATTATAAGCAAAAAATAATTAGGAATTGAATTCGAAACCCACGAAATATCCACCATTAAAATTAATAAAATTCAATAATACAAACACACATGTTTAAAAAAAAAGCAATTCGATGATGATATATATAAAGTAAAATTTGAAGCAAAGAATCTACTATTGGGAAATTGAAAATAAATATAACAACTAATATTTGGAAAATAAAAATAAATTTGAGTATATAGATTGGTATTAATGACAATGTAATCAGATTACTGAGATGACAGATAAATAAAAATATTAATTGATGAAAATATTAATTCATGCTGATAGAAAAATATTCAAACTATAGTGGAAATATAGTGTAAATACTATATGGTAACTGCCAAAGCATTGTTCATGAGCATTTAAACTTGAAAAAACTTTGTTATTAGAAATTAGAAATTTATAGTAATTTGATTAAAAGTGCAATTAATAGCCAAGATTTTTAAAAACATTAGTAACTGGAGATAAACTTAGTACTATCTTTATGGTTCAAAAACCAAGAAACAATCACTTGAATGGCACACTTTGAGTTCTCCTAGGTTCATCTTGACCATCAAGCAGTTGTACATAATGAGTTTATTCCAGAGGGAACTTATATCAATAAAAACACATACAAAGAAATACTTGAAGGCCTTAGAAATTCAATACAAAAGATAAGGAACCAGCTCTTTCAGTTACAACAATGGAAGTTGCTTCATGATAACACCTCTGCCCATAAAGCCATTTTGGTTATGGGTTAAACAACCCATACAAGCTAAGCACTCTGTGACTGTTTCATCACATCCTCCTTATTCCTCAGAACTCTCTTCTAGTGATTTATTTTATTTTCCAAAGCTCAAATTTGCGTTAAAAGAAAGATGCTTTTCATCATATAAAGAGGTTATTGAAAAAGTGAGGGCTGAATTAAACAAGCTCCTGAAAATGAGCTATGAAACCTCTGACTGATGGAAAAAATGTGCAGCTAATGCAGATATTTTGAGAAATTTGATTATTACAATAATTTAACCTTTATATATTTTTTATTTTTCAAAAGCTCAGTTACTTTTTGATTATACCTTGTATAGTGTGAACACTAAAAGAAAACCGATTATAATGATATTTCTAGATTTTTATTTTTTTTTCGCGCTCTCTCTATATTAGGACTCAAATTTAATCATATCCTAAAAGACCAATTCTATAGCGATAAGAATCACTGATTGAATCCTGTCATGAATCTTAGAGATTACTTGTATAAGCGATTTAGCATAAAATAATAAATGAAATGCTTAAAATAGGTAAATTCTTGTCTATATTGTGGCAAAGAAATAATTTTATAACTTTATTTTATTATTCATTTAATCAATGAAAACGCACAGCATAATATAATTATGTATTTATGAAATTCTCACATCCCTATATATAGTCACGACTGTCTTTCCTCATCGGCCTCTGTCACGGATGCGCGCGCACAGGGAGGTCACGTGCTCGCCGGCAGTCAATAAAAATAAAAATAAAAAACTCCCTCGAGCCGGATTGGAACTAACGACCTAAGGATCACCGTTGTAACATCTACAGTCCTCCGCTCTGCCAACTGAGCTATCGAGGGATACAAACTGTATGAATAAGTTTACCTTATAAAGTCAACTAATCCTATTTCTACACAAAATGTACTCATACATATATTATATACTAGCCGAATGACCCGGGCAACGCCCGTGTTTTACCCGACTGTAGATGTTACAAGGGTGATCCTTAGGTCGCTGGTTCAAATCCGGCTCGAGGGAGCCGGCGAGCACGTGACCTCCCTGTGCGCGCGCATCCGTGACAGAGGCCGATGAGGAAAGACGGTCGTGACTATATATAGGGATATTATATTATATTATATATATACTAGACGAATGGCCCGGGCAACGCCCGGGTTTTACCCGAGTGCGCATATATTTTAAAAACGTTTTAATTCAAATATTATTCGTTACAATTATAAATTGGCGCCATGGATGTCACTCTTGTGAAACGTCCCGTTCCAAACTGTGTGTTTTTAATATGTTTTAATTAAAATACTATTCGTTACAATTATAAATTGGCGCCGTGGATGTCTCTCTTGTGAAACGTCCCGCCCCAAACTGTGTGTGTCTTGAAAATATAAAAATAAAAATGTGAATTTTCATAAAGATTTCATCATGTCGATTTTTTTTTTTTGCATTTCACCTACTAAATCGATAGAGATAATTACATTTGCAACATGAACTTAGGTATATTGAATAAATAGAAAACTGCATAGTAATAAAGATCATTTTTTAAAGGCACCATATCGGTTTTTTTCAATAAAATCGAAACAAAAATTAACGATAAATAACGATAATTGCCTTAAAAAGAAATTGCCTTAAAAAAAAGAAACATTCGCGGTGATTTTGTCTTGCATTCATTTATACAATTATTATATACGAATGGCCCGGGCAACGCCCGGGTTTTACCCGATTAAATGCTTTTATTCAAATACTATTCGTTACAATTATAAATTGGCGCCGGGGATGTCATTCTTGTATAATATATAAATGAGTTTTAAAAATTGTAAAAAAAAAAAAAAAAAATGCATCGGCCGGGAATCGAACCCGGGCCGCCCGCGTGGCAGGCGAGCATTCTACCACTGAACCACCGATGGTTATGAAAAATCCCATCCGTGAGCTTCAAACAGACAGAATAAGGCAAATATATAAGTAGATAGTCACGACCGTCTTTCCTCATCGGCCTCTGTCACGGATGCGCGCGCACAGGGAGGTCACGTGCTCGCCGGCTCCCTCGAGCTGGATTTGAACCAGCGACCTAAGGATCACCGTTGTAACATCTACAGTCGGGTAAAACACGGGAGTTGCCCGGGTCATTCGGCTAGTATTATTATATACAGTTATCAGCGTCATGCATTCTTTCTTAATTATGTCACCGTTTGCTTTTGGTTCAGTGGTAGAATGCTCGCCTGCCACGCTGGCGCCCTGGGTTCGATTCCCGGCCGATGCATTTTTTTTTTTTTTTTACAATTTTTAAAACTCATTTATATTATTAAAATATATGTGCTTTTCCTGTCTATGTACAGATTTATGGTCTATGTATACAAGTTATTTGCAAATTGCGTGGCAAATTTGCCCTTTCGCTCGCAAGCAGCGCCTCTAGCGGTGAGATGGGAGGTAATATCAGCTGACCTAATGGACATGTAAAACGTGTTTTAACAGGACATAGAGAAAAATCTGGAAAATATATTTTTTCGATTTTTAGTCAAGAAAAATAAATTGACAGGTTCTGGGAAAAAGTAGTTGTTTTTTTATTCAAAAATGATGATGATAACATTGCTGTATCATATTTGATTATCAGATACAAAATTATATCCGGAAAAATTCCAAAAATCAGAGACCACGGGTGAAACCAGTTCATTTTTAGTATGCAGGAACAAAATTCTAACAGAAAAACATTCATTCGAGCAGAAGACACAAAGCCAGATCATCTCTTTATAAAAATATCGCTTCTCAGACACAAAGTTTGGAGCGGGACGTTTACAAGAATGACATCCACGGCGCCAATTTATAATTGCAACGAATAGTATTTGAATAAAAGCATTTAATCGGGTAAAACCCGGGCGTTGCCCGGGTCATTCGTATATAATAATTGTATAAACGAATGCAAGACAAAATCACCGCGAATGTTTCTTTTTTTTAAGGCAATTTCTTTTTAAGGCAATTATCGTTATTTATCGTTAATTTTTGTTTCGATTTTATTGAAAAAAACCGATATGGTGCCTTTAAAAAATGATCTTTATTACTATGCAGTTTTCTATTTAGTCAATATACCTAAGTTCATGTTGCAAATGTAATTATCTCTATCGATTTAGTAGGTGAAATGCAAAAAAAAAAAAAAATCGAAATGATGAAATCTTTATGAAAATTCACATTTTTATTTTTATATTTTCAAGACACACACAGTTTGGGGCGGGACGTTTCACAAGAGAGACATCCACGGAGCCAATTTATAATTGTAACGAATAGTATTTTAATTAAAACATTTTAAAAACACACAGTTTGGAACGGGACGTTTCACAAGAGTGACATCCATGGCGCCAATTTATAATTGTAACGAATAGTATTTGAATTAAAACGTTTTTAAAGTATATGCGCACTCGGGTAAAACCCGGGCGTTGCCCGGGCCATTCGTCTAGTATACATATAGGTGAAAAAATAATATAAAAAAATAAATAATAAAAAGGTCAGGTGTTGATATTAAAAATAATAAAGGCATATCCTGACCAGGAGCACATGTATTTAAGGCCTTCTGAAAAGAACATGTGCTCCTGGTCAGGATATGCCTTTTTTATTTTTAATACATATATATATATTAACTAGCGAATGTTCCCGGCTTTGCCTGGTTTTTACCCAAGTAAAAGTTTGCCTAACAAACATTTGTTAAAACGATTCTAGCAAACATCCAATCCCTACTGAATCTATTCTTGTCTATACTCTCGATAATTTGAAAAATTTTCCCGTTCCCTTGAAAAATACTCGATTAGTTGAATAAAATCAATATTAATTGGTCCACTCGGTAATTTGAAGTTGAAGGAATAGTATCTTGCCACAAACGAACATTTGTAAATAACTGTATTTAGCGAATGTACCCGGCTTCGCCCAGTTTTTTACCCGAGTAAAAGTTTGCCTAGCGAACATTTGTTAAAACGATTCTAGAAAACATCCAATCCACCTATATATATATTTATAAACGTATATAAATATTGTTATATGCGTTTAAATATATTTTTAAAACACATATATTTTTTATTTATTAAATTTTAAATAAGATATTTTCTTTAAATATCAACATATATAGTCACGACCGTCTTTCCTCAATTCCTCATCGCTGTCACGGATGCGCGCGCATCATCATTATGATCATTATCATTATCTAATGATAATAATAATAATAATAATTATTATTATATTATTATTACTATTTTACAGTGGACCCTCGGTTTGCGAGCATAATCCGTTCCAAAGCCATGCTCGTACTCCAAAACGATCGTAGTGCGAAACTAATTTCTTATTTTTAATAATTGAAACTCGGGCAATTCTTCTTGCACAGTTTCCCACATTTTACATATTTCCCGAATCTGATCTGAAGGGAGGGATCCCAGTGAATTTTCATCCATCACGATTACGGGCAACCATCACGAGTTGCTCGTAATGCGAAATTTCACTCGTAATCCGAGGTAAAATTTTTCAAAAATTTTGCTCGTACTGCGAAAAGCTCGTACTCCAAGGTGCTCGTAAACCGAGGGTCCACTGTATTATAATAAATTAATATATAGTCACGACCGTCTTTCCTCAATTCCTCATCGCTGTGACGGATGCGCGCGCATCATCATTATGATCATTATCTTCTATAGAAGCTTCTATCTTTATAATTATGTATATTTACAAAAAGTCAATTCGCTCGCGCCTCTAGCGGTGAAAATGAGGGGTAATACCAGCTGACCTAATGTACATGTAAAGTTTGGAGCGGGACGTTTCACAAGAGTGACATCCACGGCTCCAATTTATAATTGTAACAAATAGTATTTGAATAAAAACATTCAATCGGGTAAAACACGGGCGTTGCCCGGGTCATTCGGCTAGTAAATTAATATTGAAATGCCAAGTTTTTTACAACGTCATTGGAATATTATATTACTAAATCCTCAAATTAAATATTAAATTTATTATACTTGGAACATATTTTAGCATTTTTACAATTTATAAATGTAATTTCACCAGATGCCGCGAGAGGCGCTGCTTGCGAGTGAAAGTAGAAAATTTGCAAATAAAATTGCAACGAATATTTATTTCAAATCAAATTCAAACCAGAAGCCTTCCCTGTAGTACAGTAAATAACTTCATAAAGTTTCACGGCGATTGGATAATCTTACCTTTTAAAAACATTCATCGTGTAAACAAACTACGTGTAAAATTATTAACCAATCAAATCCATTTATCGTCTCGACCAGTGCTGCGCCAAGCGGTAAAAGGCTGGAACTAACGCTTTTTGGTTTTACATTAAAAAAAGCACATTAACCTTTTTAGTTTTTTGAATAGCCTATATGTTAAACGAAATCTTCAGCTACCTACATGCGAAATTTCATAATGATTGATTCTGTAGATTTTGCGCAACGCGATAACAAACATCGATTTTGGATTTCATTTTTATAAATATAAAGGATATACGAGGGCCATCCAATAAATAAGTTTCCCTATTTTTTTTTTCTGCGAACGAAACGTTGTAAAAATTAGTTAGTATAGATGAAATGGTCACTAGGATGCGTTGGAAGCTGGTGACCTTCAAAATCACGCTTACTCGTACGCGCAAGTCCGTAGCGCTTCAGTTTCCATGGAGCTACCACTGGTGAACGAGTCCACTTGCGAACTCCGTTCTGTAATTCGTTTTTTCACGGCGAAAAATTAAACTGCGGTCAATATCCATCGCAATTCAGTGTCAGTGTATGGTCAAGAATGTATGAGCATCCAAATGGTTCGCCGATGGCGTTCATGGTTCTTAGAAGGATGGCAAAACGTGCATGATGACGAGCGAAGCGGC